CAACAAAGGAGACAAAAATATACAATGGGGAAAAGACAGGCTCTTCGATAAATGGTGTTGGGAAAACCCTACATATAGAGAATAAAACTGGACCACTTTCTCACCACATACATAAAAATAAACTCAAAATGGATTAAAGACCTAAATGGGAAACGAGGAACCATAAAACTAGAAGAGAACATAGGCAGTAACCTCTGGGACATTATTTTTCTGGCTGTGTCTCCTCAGGCAAGGGAAACAAAAGCAAAATAAACTAATGGGACTATATCAAACTAAGAAGCTTTTGTACTGCAAAGGAAATCATCAGCAAAATGAAAAGGCAACCTACTGAATGGAAGAAGGTATTTGCAAATTATATCTCTGATAAGGGGTTAATATCCAAAACAACACCATCTAAAAGACAAATACTCTGATGAAAAAATGGGCAGAGGACCTGCATAGACACTTTTCCAAAGGAGACATACAAATGGTTAACAGACACATGAAAAACTGTTCAAAATCATTAGCTATCAGGGAAATTCAAATCAAAACCACAATGAGATACCACCTTACACCAGTTAGAATGGCTAGAATCCAAAAGACAAGAAATATCAAGTGCTGGCGAGGATGTGGAAAAAAAGGAACCCTCACGAACTGTCAGTGGGAATGTAAACTGGTGCAGCCACTATGGAGAACAGTCTGGCGGTCCCTCCAACAACTAAAAATAAAAGTACCATATGATCCAGTAATTCCACTACTGGGTATTTACCCAAGGAGAACTAAAACACTAATTTCAAAAGATGTACGCACCCCTATGCTTATTGCAACATTATTTACAACAACTGAGCTATGAAGGTAACCTAAGTATCCACCAATAGATGAATGGATAAAGAAGATAAATACATATGCACGTGCGCGCGCACACACACACACAGGAATATTACTCAGCCATAAAAAAGAATGAAATCTTGTAATTTGGAACAACATGGATGGACCTAGAGGGTATTATGCTAGATGGAATAAGTCAGAGAAAGAGAAATACCACATGATTTCACTTCTATGTGGAAACTAAAAAAAAAAAAAAATGAACAAACAACAGTAACAGAAAAGAGAAACAGACTCGTGGAGAACAAATTAGTGGTTGCCGGAGGGGAGGGGAGTGGGAGACAGGCAAAACGGGTGATAAGGATTAAGAGATATAAACTTCCAGTTATAAAGTAAGTTATGGGGATAACAAGTACAGCAGAGGGAATATAGTAATAGTATTGTAATAACTGTGTGATAATAGATGGTAACCACACTTCCCATGGTAAGCATTTCATAATGCACACAATTGTCGAATTACCTGTTGCAAACCTGATTTATGTCAACTACACTTCAATTTTTAAAAAACACTGAACCGTACACTTAAAAATGGTTAAAATGGTAAATTTATATATGTTTAAATAAATAATTCTGGAAGTAAAAAAAAAAACAAAACCCAAAACTACAGAAGCCAAGAGTCCATCCCAGATGTACTGAATGTTCTCCTGGTCTAGCTGATTACTGGAACTTCGACTTCCTCCCCTGATAGTACCCCTTACAGCAAAGCTTATCTGAGTTTTAACGTCACTTAAAAGAAACCCTGTGTCCCTCACTTTACCTTCAAATTTAATCTGTCATTCCTACCCTGGTAGGTAACTTGGCACCATGGAGCAGCATGTTGTCTGCTGGTCTTAAAGTAGGCCAATATCAGGCAAACTATCGAAATAGACCCGGGTCTATACTTGCTATGTCGCCTCCTACTGAAACACTTCCATCACATTATTTAATCCACCTGCCTACCTTGTGGGCAATGAAAAAGAAATGATGCGAAGCACAGGGCACAATGTCTGGCACCATGGGAAATAAATGTACACACACGTACATACATACACACATACACACACCCCTCCTTGCCCACGTTTCCTTCTAATGGGCCCTGGCTTATGTTCTCCATTCTAACCAAACTAGCTTAGGGTAAGTTCTGGAAGGCTCATCAGCCCCCACCTCTAAGCTTTTGCTTGTGCCACTTACCTGCTATTTTGGAATGAGCTAGAAGGACACATTATCTTTCCCTACCCTGCACAAACATTACCTTCGGAGCATCTGCTTTTCATATTAACCTATTAAGTTTTCTCTCAACTGCCTATTATGAAAAGTTGTTTATAAATATGTTTTTGTGTTAATTCCTAAACTTCTCTCTCCTCTCTCCTAATAACGTATATGTTCTTTGAGGACAGGGACTACATCCTTCCCTTCATTTATAAGTATAAGGATCCAGAAACACTTTTCTGCTATGACAGTTCAACTGTATTATCTTTCAGTAGGAATAAAACCATAGGATTTCCCTGGGGGGAGGGGACACAATTGAGAAACAGCTGACATGTTCATTGTGGTACCTGTTTTTAGCCTGATACCTGCTAAGAATCATAGTACTGATTTGGGGCAAAATGCACATAACACGGAATTTACCATGCTAACCACATTTAAGTGCACAGCTCAGCGGCACGAAGTACATTCACACTGTTGTGCAGTCATCACCACCATCCAGCTCCAGAACTCTTTCTGTCTTGCAAAACAGAATCTCTGTATCCATTAAACACTAACTCTTCCAGTCCTCTCTCCTACCTCCGACCTCTGGCAACTAGCATTCTGCTCTCTGTCTCCGAGAATACCTCGCGTAGCTGGGTCGTTCAGTACCTGTCCTTCTGTGACTGGCGTACTTCACTCAGCACAATGTCTTCAAGGTTCATCCAGCCTGCAGCACGGGCCAGAGCTTCCTTCCTTTTTAAGGCTGCACGGTACCGATTTTTGAAGGGGAAAAACAACCCTGCACATATGTCTTAACAGATTATTTATTAATATGTCATTCTAAACATTACATAAATACAGCCTATACACTAGAGTATCAAACATTGTTCCAGTAAGAAGTTCAAGAGGACACTGAGGGCTATCTTAAGAAATATGAATACTTTGGCTTTCATTATTACATCAGATGAAAAAAACAATTCAAAGAACAGTTTTCATTTCCTGCTATGATTAACAATAAAACCAAGTAGAAAAGTAAGGGTGTATTAAAAAAAAGATACTCAAGTACTTTTCAAAGAACTCATTCCCCTTTTCTTCACTACATACATACTCATACAAATTACTCAGTAATCTACTATGAGAAGTGGTTCTTCACCTATCTAAGGAACCTCAGTAAATATTTGTTGAATGAATGAACAATCTATGGAAATGAATCTACTACTTTAATTTGTGGGGTCTTTTTTTTTCCCTAGTGAGAGCAATAGCAAAACTACTGAAGTTCTTGTTTGTCCAGATCATAAGCCTATGGAACAGTGACTGTTACAAACACTACCCATCATAGCTAATAATCAAATTAATGTGCATTTATCAACCTACTAAGAAAAAGTCTATCATGTTGCAGAACTAATTCTAATGTAATACTTGACTGGGCTTCAATCACCTGCGATATGGCCAAGAAAAGGGAACTGGGACTGCTAGGTTTGTAATTATCTCACTTATCAATGAACTCCTATCTTCGAGCCCTCACTCCCACCCAACCCCCTCCCCCACATTTCTAAACACTGCTAAAAATAGCAGCTGCAGCATATCTTCACCCTCTTGTTAATTTGGCTCTGAAAATGTACTCAGGCTCCAAGTTCAGATGAGGGAACTTCCAAGCAGGGAAGAGTTCACTAGGGAGCGCCCACAAATGGAAATGAGTCCATGGGCCAGAGCAGAACAAAGCTTTGTTCTTACAGCAAGCTCAACGGACACACGTGGTAAAACCGAGAGTTGAACACTCTTCCTCCCAAAGTCACATTTCATAAGCAGACCAAAAACAAAACAAAAAAAACAAAAACAAACTGAAAAGACCCTTTTAAGTAGGATCTTTTCAGGAAAACCATAATTTTGATCCTTTTTTGAAGTTAAATTGTGCTAAATATTATACCTAACACAATTAAAAGATGAAAGCTGCTGACGTTACAAATAAGCAAATTTGTGATGCTTGGCCTAGATAAAAGAGCTAAAACAAATTCCAAGAAGTCCTGCCAGAAAGGTGGTTTTAAGAACCGCTTCTGAGTCAGATGTAGCAAATCTGATGATCTAGCAGTCGTAATTTAGGAAGGCAAGAGTATACTGAGTATGTCATTACTCTCCTCTTATGATGAGCATTTAAAGGGGGAAGTGGTGGGGAAGCAATTTAAACTTCAGTTCTCAGACTTTGTCTTAATGAAATAAAACACTGTTGGATAGTAGTGGAGATTCTAATTTATAAAATATTGACCTTTGTGCAAAGTTTCTTTCACGATCAACTTTTCACAGGTAGTCCTAAATTACTACTCTTTACGTGCTTAAGTCTGAAGAGAAATCTTGGCTAACCTAGAAGTTTATCTTTACATAATCATCATCTCAATAGGTTTGACTCCTATTAAACTGATTATTACTTGATACACTATGAAGTTAAAAAAGGACCTCAGTAGTGCAAACACAAAAGCCTCAAACTATCTTTACGTCTTCACAGTACGGCTAGTGAACTAGCAACTAATGCAGCATTTCAACAAGCCCCAAAGTCAGCATCTTTAATTCATGGTGGGGCCTCTCTGACTATCCCACAATTCACAAACTGTCCCAAATTCCTGGTGTCAAAGGGTTGTCAATATGTGAACCAGGAGAATTACCACAGACTTCCCCTTTCCAAGTTCAAAAGTTCCTCTAATCAAAAACAAAACAGAAGAACAAAGAAACAACACTTTCACCCCTTTACAATGTTCCAGCCAAATTAAGGTTACATTTAAAATATACATATCTGGAAACAAGAGTTGTTCAAAATCATCCTTCATATATTCCTACACAGAGAATGGTGTCTCAGATGTGGCGGGGGGGGGGAACCTGATGGGTTTTTTACCTGCAAAATTACATCACCCGCAGAGCACAAAGGACGCATCATCACCCGTGCCCGGAGCACTCACAAAACCCAGCAGCCTTGGGCTTCAGTTCTTAAAGGCTCCACATTTACTGGCTTTAGCAATGAATTCCTTTAGCAGAGGGCCATCCATTTGCCAAAATGCTGCAGTCTGTGTAACTTCTGTCAAATGATTGATGCAAAACTTAAAGCAGAATTCTTCTAAATCCTGGACACACACAACAAAAATAAAAACAAGAAGAGGCCTTTTTTTATTAACTTTGATCAAATTACTTCTATCCAAACCCCTCATCCCAAATCTTTCACCCTCCCCTAGAAAAGACATTTGAGGCCAGAAACCTCAAACTAAGCAAACAAGTGACCATAGGTAGGTATCAGAAAAGCACACACTATTTAGTTAAAACATAGTGAAAGCAACAATTCCACTACCTCAAGTCTGACTCTTCAAAACACACACCCATTCACACAGCCTATGGGGGGGCAGCTTCTACAAGGCTACCACACAGTCTAGTCACATGCAGACTTTGACTTGAGAAGCTGAGAGCATACACCTGAAGCTGATACAATATTGTCTGTCAACCATCTGCAATAATAATTAAAAACAAAGCTGAAAGCAACTTCAGTCCATCCTACGTTTTACCACAGTCAAGAAGTCCGAGAAAAGAATTAAGATTTAGCTTAAGGAAGATTTTAAGAAACAGAAAAGTGATAAAGAGATGTCCTCAAGAGACACATTAAAAAAGAAAAAATTCCAAGCACCTTAAATCCACCGCTGTGCTCTCCTAGATAAAATGCCTTCATTCTTAAAGCCACAAGGAATAATACACTACTACTCCCACCAAACTAATTTCTCATTCTCAGTCAATCCAGAGAATATTCAGAGATTGGAGTTTTCAGTCAGATGAATGAAGTCATCAGCTACCAACACTCAGAAGGAAAATGATATACACAAGTGGTAAACCAGAACAACTTAAAAATCTGTTTCCGCCAATGCTAATACAGCCTTTCATCCCCAGCAAAACCGTTAGTGTTTGTTCCTTTAAACACTGGAACATACATTTACTAAATCAATTAGGTACTGGAATGTATACAAAGTCTAAATATGTAACAGCAAATCACACTGAAAGCTCTTATCACAAATACCTTGATTTTTTAATTTTGCCGGCTACACCGAAGGTCAGTACTCAGGGTTCTATCAAACCAGGAACTCAACAACATTTAAACTGCAGCAAGACTTGGTCTCATGTTTCCAAGCCACTGTGAAATGAGAAATTTTAGGCAGGGTGGGGGAGGGCCCACACAAACACAGAGACAGATCCCTTTCTACTCTCTGTGCAGACCCCTGCAAGCAAATACTTCCTTCTTCTACGGGTCCCTCTGTCCTTAGCTGAATGAGGTTCCCTTCCAGTCATATCACTGGTAAGAGATAAACCACATCTAATGTGTATCAGTCAGCTGCTGCCGGAGTTTTTTTCTAGATAATTCACAATGCATTTAAAATATAGGCACAATCTTTGCATCAAAGTTTTTTAATAAGAGAGTCTCCGTGGGCTGAAGTACCACTGAACGTTCTGTGTATTATAATAAACTAAAACGTTAAACTATATAAAACATTCCCTCTCATGTTACTATTAAAGAAAAAGCCCTCTCCTGGTATTACAACCCAATGATTAAGAAACAGCTTTAGGAACTAAATTATATTCTACAAGGAGATCAAAGTCATTTCAATCTTATCAAAAATAGAAAACTAGTTTTTCTACACATACTTGAGGAAGAAATAACCAGTCATAAGCACAGAAAGTTTCTTCAAACCATGCAATGTAGCAGATGAGGATCTTTAAATATTAACTTTGAATTACATAATTTCAAATTCAAAGACTCACTAAATTCTGGCATTGTAAAACCTTATCACTTCCATGTCTACAAATCTGGAATTCAAGCTCTTTAGAGTCCACGTGAAAAAGTGAGTTTATCCAGTTTACTAATTATACAGAGATTATCTTGGGTATAAACTGTAAGAGCTTTTTATGTAGTACAGGTATACAAAGGGTGCCTCTGGTTACAAATCACTGCATACATTTATGAAAATGGCTCTATCAAACTGCCTTCCCTTCCCCTCCAACTAGTTTGAATTGGTGAGATATCTCAGTATTCAAAAAATGTCCTGCAGTTTCAAACATTAAAAGTTAAACTAGAGAATCCTGAAAATAATCTGAATCTGGGTTAAACAACTAATCGTTTAATAACTGAATCTTGCTTAAGGCAGATCTATGGAAAAGGAAGTACGGAATGCACTTGGAAAGAGAGAAACTGCAAGTTCAGTTGCACGAACCAGAGTGGCCCAGCCAAGCAATTCACTTAGTAGCCAATGCCCTGAGCCAGGTTGCCTTTGCTTTGATATGTAAATGAGATAACTATTTTTCTGATAATTCCTAAATATTTGAAGAAGCTACATGATCTGTTCACCTTATTCTGCAAATGATCACATCTTCAATACCCAGAAAAGAAAGTGCAACTCTCACCGAGCTAATAAGTTAACTCTAACAAGACTGCTGGGCTTTATTCAAAACGTTTCCAAGAAAACAAGAAGGATCACCAGACCAGTAGATGAAAAAAGTTCATAACAGGTTGAAAGCATCTTCTTAAAGCCCATGGAATACAGAAGTGGGAGAGGGTGCAAAACTAGGGGCTTTAAAACGATATTCTTGGTATTTTAGAAACTAAATCCCTTATTTATGACATTTTGTGATGAAATTATTCTAAAGCGGTTCTGAGGCAAATCAGGTGAAATATCAGATTTGTTGTAATTAGCAAGGAAGCTCAAAATGAATTGCTATTCTGAAATAATTTATAAATTCATTCCAAATTTTTAAAATTATTCCAATAACTTATATATTCCGAAAATAACTTGTTTTTCCTTTCCACAGATTTTCTTTAGTAACAAAGTAAAACAGAGACAATTGATGGTCTTAATAAACACATTTTTTAAAATGCCACTGCAGCCTAAATGAACTTCTTAACCAGTCCTAAATCCCCGAAAGCTAAAATAACTGAATGCTAAGAATTCTATCGAAGACCACTTGGCCAGGGTGAGACAGGCTCCTATGTGTCAACCAGCCCCACTTGAGATGCATTCCAGATGGCAAGATGGTGAACCACACCTACCTCTATCCAAACTTGTTAAAGTAGTAACAAAACCCCAAAACCATAAGTTTAGAATTTATAATATATATCAGGTACAAAATATGCCAGATCAAAGTGGTCTTTGGTTTGGTTTTTTAGTATTTACTTAAAATGTCTTGCTACCTAGGACAAAATAAAGAAAGGTGCTTTGTCTCACTAACTAAAAAATATTTTATAGTCTACTGATCATGGAAAACTTTTAATTTCGGAAAGAAGAAAAAAATGCTGACCATCAGGCTTTAGCACAAAACTTTTCACTACCAATATCCCAAACCAGTTTTGGAATTAGATTCCTGGCCTTCTATTTATGGCTTCCCACCAACAGCAAAATATTAGGACGTAAGTTACTTAGCAAGTAGGATTTTCTGGAAAGCGCTCTACTCTGGTTCCCAACTACTTCTCCTAATGTTCAAATATACACAGAAAACAAAAATTTCCTGAAAACAGTATAAATAAAAACATTGCAAACTTGCGTGATGAGCTATAGAACTATCCTGACACAGTGTTTCATTCACGTTTTGTCCCTTGATGGCAATGCTCACTTGGGTCTGTACTAAACGAATACTTAGGCACTCCCCTGCCAAGTCGTTCCTCAGCTAAAACTTGCAGAAAGTCGGACAATGCACTCGTGACACAAGGGCTCCACAAGCAGCTTCCTTAAAAAAAAAAAAAATCTTAACTACTGCAGTCAATACATTTTTGTTGCTTTTATGTGCGTATGTTTGCTTCGAAATTATCTTGTCAAAGGGGGTAGAGAGGAACCTCAAGAACTCACAGAAAAGAGAAAGAATGTGAGAAGCATGCAGTCTCCATCTTCCTAGCATGTGAACCACAGAATGAAGGAAAAGTCATCTGGTCTCCCTAAGCGGAGCTTCTGAAAGTCAGTCAATTTTTTGGCAGTTAATTTCCAATCTGACTTAATAGAAGCTTCCCATCAACTAACAGATAGAGTGGGTTTTATTCTTATATTCTAAACACTTCATTTATTTACTTACTACAGTCTATAGCATTAAGGAAATACAGTGTAAAAGTACATTAGTCAATTACAGAACTATAAGAATCTAAAAAAAATAGCTTAGAAAGAAGGTGATTCTTCCTCCTTTTGTCTTCTATTTTCTAATTTTTCTACGTTGAATGTATAACATTTGTGGGTTGGGGTTTTGTTTTGTTTTTTTCATTTTTTAAAAAGCACAACTTTGTGGTGAGGTATTTCAAATTCATTTAACTCTTGCGTGCCAAATCAAATGACCATACTGTGACAGACTCAAGGGAATCACATATATTTTCAGTCTTAAGGAAGGGACAGAATTTCATGTGTCTATATTTTATACGAGGAAAATGAAAACCAGTAATAAAAAAAAAAATGACCACTTGGCATGGGTACAAGTGGCACGAGGTTTTTTTCTGTGACTTTTTGGGGTAAGTTTTAGCTTAGTGAGAAAGAAGTTTCCAGCACCTAGAGCTGAGATGTTTGCCTCTGCCCCAATGGTTCTAACTCGTTTTAGTCAGCAGTATCCTAATCCCAGGAATAGGGAACTCATTAGCAGTTAAGAGGAGTAGGGAGAGACACAGAGCAGATGTTAAAGTCAATTAACAAACAGACGGAACAGGCATCGACCGATTTAAAATTGTATCACTGGGTAGAATCGAACCTAAAGAAATAGCACTTCTAATAAAGAAGTTCATGGTGTCACAGAAAAGGTAAAAAAAAAAAAAAAATCTATACTTCCATTTCCTATTAGACATAATTTACTTTGATCATCACTCCATCTGTTGCCAGGCCACAGAGAAAGTCAGCTATTTGACCTTATTAAATATTTATAATCATAATCTCAAATAAAAATAGGATACATTTTGAAAATAAAAGACATAATGTTCCATTTTGATCCCTAAGTGTGATAAAGATGAAGTCTGTCTTCCACCACACCAAGGCCACAATTACAGATCTCTGAGGGTGTTTGGTAAATCCTGATACCAGGTACTGTGCCTTGTCAAATGATGACAAAGCACCTCTAGAATGGGCTAATTGTGTCACTAAAGGTGCATGCCTTAGCTGGACATCCTGAACTCCGAGGCTATTGCTCTCTACCTTTTATTCTCTATAAATTTATAAAACCAACCAGACCAGCCTTAAGTTCACTAATTATCCTTAATGCATCCTTCAGGTGGTACCATATTCATTCAGTTCAACAAACATTTATTATCCAGTGCCTACTATGTGCCAGGCACTACAGGGTACAGAGATGAATAAAAAACAGTTTCTGCTTATGAGCAGCTTACAATCTGATGACACTGTGGTTCTTAACTTCAAGAAAATACACTAAACACAAAATTTCAGACTCCCCAAAGCTCATTCATTCATAGATCCTCTAGAGATCCATAAATCCTAAAGAATTCAGTCCAGTGCAAAACCAACCATTCACAACCAAACACACAAACAAAAAGGAGCCCAGACCAAGTTCTTCACACATGAATGAGTTATAATTAGACAAAGATAGAATTTCAGAGCATACACAGATATGAATCATACAGCATCCTTGGCTTACAACAGGATAGAGTTAGGGAGATGGCAAAGTGGGTCTTGAAAAAAATAGATAAGCTGACCTTGAGTAACACCCGAAACTACAAATGGCATCAATCCAACTGGGTAGGACACTTTCTATTCCAACCCGCAGTACAGCTGCTTGGACCTCAGGTTCTTTTCTTAGTCAAAAATGAAAGTAGAACAACAACCATTTTGAAACTATGAACACAAAATAAACAAGCAAGGCCAGCTTTCATTTTTTTAGAGATCAGTCAGTTCATAGATTCCCTAACTAGAAGTGAAATTACTCCTGTTCCTTGTCTCATGCAAGAAAAGTGGGGGGCAGGCCATGAGGAGTTGGAGGGGGGGGTTTCTGTTCGTTATTTTATGTTACCTCTGCATCGTATCTGACTGCAGCAGAGAACAGTGAAAAGGCATTCTCCACAGTAATTCCACGCTTGATAATGTGCTGACAAAGCTTTCTCAGTCGGTTTTCACAGTAAGACGTGGCCAAGTCCAAAAGACCTAAAAGCAAGAAGTATGGAAGGTTTAATCAAGTTTATGATAATTTCCCATAATTTATAAACATAAATATTTTATTTTGGTGCAAAGAGTTATGTAGATAAATCAACAGAAGTTTCTTAGTGAGTAATACTCTAAATTTTATTAAATAAATCCTCTTTTTCACTCCCTACCTCCCCCATCCCAAAACAGACCTCTCCTACCCTTACTTTATACATCTTCTTCTACAGTACAAAGGAAGGGGAGTAAATGGAATTCCCCCCTCATTTTATTTCCAAGATGATGTATTAAATGCATTAGCAATGTATACTTCAGTATTAACAGAATGAAAATAAATCCACAGGCATAAACTTGTGTCCACAATTATTAACCATAATAACCATATAACATTATTTGTCAAGACATTTACTTCAAATATTGTCTAAAAACCAATCAACTTGACACTTTTTACACTTCAGTGCTGTAAGGACATGACGAGAGAGATCTGTGACTGCGTGGCTTGGCCCGTCCGGTGGGCTGAGGTACCTATAGCATCTTCAGGCGGCAGGTCCACTGTGTCTGTGTAGAGGTACTGGAGAAAGGCACGGTACACTGGATAAGAAAACTGGTCTATTTCTATCACCTCCTTCATATCCTCATTCCAGTAAGACTGGAACATGGACCGAAAGTGCTCACACCTAAACAGAACACCAGAAAGTTACCTAAGGAAGTTGCCGCAGTCAGGTAAATATTACAGGTCTCCTTAACTACTCCTATCCTTGGGCCCACACGCACTAGGATCATGGATCTTCAGCTAGCACAGGCTTTCACATTCACCTTTTGCATATTTTCACTTTCATTTTTTGATTAGGATCTATCAAATATTAAGAACTATAAATTATAAATATAATATAAAAATTATATTAAGAATTATACTAGCACCTCCAGTGTTCCACCGTCTCCATTTGACAGTTCTCATTCAGATCAAGTATTCTGCTTACTTGTTTTTCTTAAACAGTGTTGTACAGAATTGCATTTTAAACAATGAAATTAAAAGAAATTCAGAAATGAGAGTTCAAATCTTTGACTATATATCAGCATCATTCAAATAATTTATTTGGTTTTTAATTTTCATGTAATCAGCATATTCTTAAAATGGCTTTAAATGCTAACTGGATTACATTTAGGCTAATTATTATCCCATTACCTTACATGATAATTTTCCTTTTTTTCTGACACATCTTCAAAACAGCCATCAGTCCTATTTTGTTCCTCTGCTTTGACCTGCTCCGTTTCCAATCTTCCCAAGCCTGTTACCAACTTACTTACAAAACACATTCACCAGGAGAGTCACAGATTTCAAAAAAAAAAAAAAACCTAAGTCGGTCTTTTTAGGTTGTATTTGCATGTAAAAAGCCACCTATATGAGGAACTGATTTCTAAATACTGGTTTTTCTTAATTATGTAATATACTTCAGTTTTAAAACGTCATCTTTTCAAATCCTTTTAAAATGAGATACGGTGTAAATAAACATAGAATATTTTCAAAATCCATTCACAACTAAAAATGGTTCCACCTACATAAGACATTACTTCATCTGAGAAGCAAAAAGAAATAGTTGTTTAGGCAAGGAATGACAAATTAAACAGGAAAATGAAAGGAATAGACTGACTGACCACAGGTTCACAGAAAGGAACATTTCCAGTTCACCTTTTATTAACTTTGGTTCAGATATTTACTCTCCCAGTAATGACTAACATATGGTTTTTGGTTCCCTTAAAAAGTATTATTTTGTGAAAAGGTTTTCAACTAAATTTCAAAAGGGACTTGTAAATGGCCAGTTTAACTCTCAATGGTCTCCCTTCATGAGCCTCTCTCTCAGTAATGGCAGCCTCAGGGAGCAAGAGTCCAAACCATCTACTGCCATCTACCTGCCATCTACTCTATCTAAAGAACATTCCTTTAATTGGAAATTAGATGTCCCTCAGGGCCAGAGGTCCATCATTCCTGACCATGAGAGTTTTCTGCTTGGGGAAAAAGGAATCTTTATGTGTAAAAGAGGACATACACATTTTTCACTAACAATCTTTTGTATTTTTTTAAGCATGTAAATAAATTTGTCGATGGAAATAAATAGTCACAAGATCCTCATTTAAAACAATATAAACTGGGCACCTGGGTGGCTCAGTCGGTTAAGCGTCAGACTCTTGATTTTGGCTCAGGGTGGTGGGATCAAGCCCTGCATCACCCAGGGTGGAGCCAGTTTGGGATTCTCTCTCCCTCTTCCTCTGCCCCTCCTCCCAACCCTGGCTCAGAGAGCACGCGTTCTCTCTCTCAAAAATAGGAAAAAAAAAAACCAACACAATATAGACAAATATTTACACTATATTATGCCTTTTCAAAAAGGCTCATGAGTGCACACTCATACACACATGCAAAACTCTTCAATAATGCATGGATCCCATTCATAAAAATATTAAGTCGTACCATTTCTCTCTACTGACAAGACTGTTCCTTATCAGTCCCCATTTTTGGACTAACAAAAACATGGAGATTGCAAAAAAGAAAGGTTACTGATGTCTCTAAGCTCATGCAAAAATACCTGATTTTCAAAACAGCTTTATGGACATGGATGTATTTCCCATCGATTCGAAACTTCAGATCAGCAGTTTCTGGACTATCAAATTCTTTCTTCAGTGATTCAGCAACTGTTAAAAAGTCTTCATGCTCTGAAGGCAACAAACACATTATTAATACAAAAAGCTCAGGATTGTGGTAGAGATATGAAAGACTTCAAAAAGATAACCATCAGCATGACAGGTAATTCCATCAGATTTTTTTCAAGAGTTCATGCCTTATTTGACAAATCAACTTCACTGTATCAAGATTAAGTATCTTGAGTCTATAAACTACCAAAAATAAGTAGTTGGAAAGGCCACTTACCAGTCTTACATACTAGGTTAGACATTTTAAAATATATATTTTTTAAAAGAAGAAAAAGTTACAGGCAGTCCACGATTATATAACTACTTATTTAAAACTTTAGTGGTTCTCTTCGGGGACTAAGAATTTATCAATTTTCCTACTTCGGGGGTAGTTTCAAGGGGCTGATAAATTCAACTGAAGTTGTGTCAAGAAACAAATTTACGAGTGAAGTAATGCCATGCAGTCATGTTCTTACACAAAGAAACCCTACTTCCTAGGTATGTGGAATCTCAACATCCCTTTTGATCCCAAAGATCAATGGACAAACAATAATCCTTGCCTGCTATCTAAAAACAGAGCAAACCAACTTAGTAACCATTACACTCAAAGGGAACAGTTTTACAAAAAGCTGGTCACGCTGCCTGGTAAGAACTGCTGGAATGATTATTTCTAAGTCGAACTGTGTCCTCACGAAAAAAAGTAAAGGCACTTGTAAAATTAGGTAACACTTTCCTGCGCTGTGTAGGCACAGGTAGAAGGCGAACAGGAAAACAAAAACAATCCCAGAGATCACTGGCAATGAGCGCAGGTGCTGGGGACACAGGCCCCTCGGATGAGAAGAGAGCGTGTCTCTCGGCAGCCTGCTGCTCTTGGAGCAGGGACATCTGCTAAACTGAGGCTGAAAACTTAATAAAGAACCTTACCCAGGAGCTTTACTATCAGACTCTCCCAAGGAAATGGCATTTGCCCAAGCCCTCCCCCGGGCTCCCGCAATGCAGAGCTTTTCTTGGCTATGGAGGGAAGTGGACAATCTCTCAAAAATCAGGCTTTCCCTGACCCTATAACCTGGATCCCTGGCAAATAAAAGAAAGGAAATGACTAAGATGGGCACGGAGTCCAAGGATGGAGATAGCTCCCCGCCGCCCCATTCACAAAATAGCTTCATACCAGCCCCTCTACTTCTGCACCAGTCCTAAGACCTGAATAACCCTCTTCCCCCTCTTGGTTTCTGGCAACAAGTACAATACCTCTTTCCAGAGAAGAAATATTCTTCAGAGGTGTTTCTTCACCATCTGAGACTTTCTTTCTAATGCTCACCTGAGATGGTAAACTGAGAGAAAAAAACTTTTCTGACTTCTAGTGGGTAGATGGGAAAGAAGTCATCTAGGAGATATACTGAATGATCTTCTCTCTTTCAAACTTAGCATTCAAAAATGTTACAACTTTTGTTCTGAAAAGGATGTCTTTTCAGGATTAGGATTTTGAGAGGCAAGTACCTGGAGAAGCTTTTTGTAAACAGGTCCTGGTTAAGCAGCACATGGGATTCTGAAGATGTACACAGTGCTTGGCTGTGCATGCTACACATATGCATGATTATGGCCAAACAGTCCCATTGTGTAAACTAACTTTTTTCAAATCACAACATTCACTGCAAAAAAATATGGTAGGTGCACCTGGGTGGCTTAGTTAAGTGTCCAGCTCTTGATGTCGGCTCAGGTCATGATCTCAGGGTTGTGAGATCGAGCCCCACATTGGCTCCATGCTGGGAGTGGAGCCTGCTTGAGATTCTCTCTCTCTCCCTCTCCCTCTGCCCTTCCCCACCCTCCACACATTCTCTCTCTTAAAAAAAAATGTATATATTATATTATCGTTAAAGAACCTGGAAATGTTCAACTTATTTCACTTTAAATTGAACAGCAGCTTAACTCTTCCTAAACATACTCTTGCCCCCATGACCATAAAGACTGATCATCTGATAATGAGATAGCCATGGCTAGCTGTCTGGCACACCTTGAGCATGACATGCACGACAAGATTGGCCTTCGATATCAACTGCTAAAGCAACCCAAACCCCATAGTTGACAAGAGCTACGTTAATTTTCAAGCACAGGGCCAGCCTGACCCACTTATTCCCTCTGCATATAAAGAACTTAGAAGAAATACATCAGCAAAAAGGGCAGAAATGAACAAGAAATAAAAGAAAAAGAGATTAAACTCATCTTGTTGATGGCTACTCAGCTTTATGACACCTTACCATTTTCCATCAATGGACTCTTAAGACAATATTCAGAAAAGGGACAGACTACATAACCAAAGATCACCCTAAATCACACTACCCTCTAAAATACCTTGGTTTTTATGCCCTTCTGAAATAAAAATATTTGAGATGGGTTGAAAGAAAAAGAGAGAAAGAAAGTGGAATTAACACATCACCCTAAAAATTACAAGTTTTTCATTTTTAAGCTCATTTTTAGTTCATATTGAATTATGTAATAGATCTAGTATGACAAAAGCACTTAAAAACAGGTTACTCAAAGATTTGTATACAAATGTTTATAACAGCACTATGCATAACAGTCAAAGGTGAAATCCATCCAAATATCCATCAACAGATGCACGGAAAAACAAATTGTGGTCTATACATACAATGGAATTTCATTCAGCCATACAAATGAAGCACTGTGTGCTACAACATGGGCAAGCCTCAAAAACATTAAGTAAAAGAAGCTAAACCCAAAAGGTCACACATTCTATGATTCCATTCATAGGAAATGTCCAAAATAGGGAAATCCCTAGAAACTAAAAGCAAAGACGTGATAGCCAGGGATGGGGGAAGAGAGAATGGGGAGTGACTGCACAGGTACAGGGGTTTCCTTCAGGGAGATGGAAATGTTTCAGAACTTGGATATAAATGGCAGTTGCACAACACTGAGGATGTACTGAATGCCTCTGAATCGTACACTTTCGAATGGTTAACTTCATGGACGGAAATCTCACCTCAATTAAAATGAAGCATTGAAGGGGAGAAAACAATAAGTAATATTTTAAAACCTATGAATAAATTTTATTATGCAAATCTATTTTGAGGAAAGGAATTACAGCTATTGGAGAATAAAACATTCTAGAACCTGACAGAGCAACTACAGAAAGAGAAATAGAGTGGTCAGTTGCTAGCACTGCTCTTCCTGGGCAGGAGCCCTGAGCTTTCTCACCTACGGACAGGAGGCGCCACGAGACGGCAGGCGTGGCAAAGCAGGCGAACACGTCGTCGGTGCAGGAGAAGTGGGTGAGGTGGGGCAGGATCACCGACTGGCCCCGGCACTGGCCCCACATGTACACGTGCCCGCCCTGGGTCTTGGCCGCCGACGTGTGCGCGGAGTGGCAGGCCGCGATCTCTACAACCCTGAAAAGTTTTAAGAAAAACGTATGTCGTTTCTTTATCACAGAAGCCGACAGCACACCACACAAGGTAGATAAAGGGGTCATGCTTACAACACCACAAAAAACAGCCCAAGACTGAGGGATATTAGTTATCAGGTCATAAGAACAAAACCGAAAGATCACAACAAGAGTATTGTGTTTTTCCCTTGCTTGCTGCCCCACTTCTCATCCTAAAGTCATTCTGAATTAGGATAAATAACACAAACTGTTGAGGACAATTTGGAAAAAGGCACCAGAAACCAAAGTAGATGAGGAAAGTGGACAGAGGCAAAATGTCCTGACGTTTCTGGCGGGGGGGGTGGATGGGGAGCTTAGACAGTAGGAAAAAAAAAATAGTGTCTTCAATATGCTATTTCCTTGATACAACTTTTTCTCCCACCCCCTAAATAAGCACCAGTCTCAGGGTAATGGACTCTGAACATCCTAATCCAAATGGACATCAAGCCAAACTTACATTTCTCAGTATGCTTCTTAGGCCAGGTCCTACAATCAGAAGTTAACCCTCTAAAACTTAGTGAGCAAGGACTCACAATTTGGCTGAACAAACAAAGCATCTATTCCAGTAACACATATTAAATCAAATCAATATCTAAATAGATAATGTCCTTTTAAGAGATTTTATTTATTTAGAAGTTGTTTTAGTTGGCTCAAAGGAAAAGTCAGTACTATACTCTGATTTTCTACCTGGTGACAGACCCTATTTTACTTCCCTACTAGATGGGCCACAAGAAGGCAGTAAGAATTACACCAAGATGCATTAATGCCTATCAATCACAGGAGGCTACTTTAGAGAGCTGCATTAAGAATCATATCAACTTCATGTTCCCTCTGGCTGCTACTCAAACTCTTGTTCAAAATGACAATGTTAAGAAACAGAAGAGTTACAAAAGCCAAACCCCATAGCTCAGCACACACAGCCCCAAATCCAAAACCACACACACAACCCCGAGACACGGTACAGCCCAGTTACCTTTCTTTCTCCACCATGATGTGGGCGGGGCTTAGCAGGTTATTTTTATTGCCAGTTCCCAGCTGCCCGTAAGTGTTAGCCCCCCAGGCATAGAGCAGGCCCTCATCTGTTAGTGCCAGAGTGTGTGCATAGCCGCAGACAATCTGCAAGTAAATGTAAATGGTTACCATCAACAGGAAAACAGGAAGGGCAGCAGAAACATCTACTTAAAGATCACAGCAAGCTTCTGCAGAATGCCAATTCATCATCAGGTATGGACTGACATTCTCGGAACATTGAAAAAGCATTAGAAAAGCCCAACACTGAGACTACTAGATTTTTCCAATCGCTTTTTTTTTACTTGTCAAGCCTGATGTGTCACCACCATGGTGTTCCTTCTCATCATGGGAATTTAGGGAAGATGAAATTGTAAATGTGGAAGATGAAGGCACACAGTATTGTTTGAAAAGATTTCCTGAAGAGTAAATCCCCAATGTTTCTCCAAGCCGGAGGGGAGCCGCAGCAGAGCCCAGCACACGTACCTGGTTCACACACACGCTGTGCAAAGCCGCCACTCGCACAGGGGTCAGCTGATTGCCATTGTTTCCCAAGCCTAGCTGACCATTGCCATTGTAACCCCAGCCATACACCTTAGAGAGAGAAAGGGAGAGAACCGGGTTTTAAAACTGTTACTAAGAGGGAAGATAGAAAAATGCAGTCCACCTAAACAAATCAAGTACTTTTCCACTTCCAACACCCACGTTCTACTGTGATCCCACAGATATTTTGGGGGTGGGGATGACAGAATTTGGCACGAGTTCCTACTCCATAACTTACTGTTTGGATAGCCCTGGGGCAAGGCATTTATTCTTGTTTTATACATGAGGAAGCTAATGCTCATTAACAATTATGAAGCACCTCTTAAATGTCAGGACATGATAAAAGGTATAGGAAACTAGAAACTAGAAGTTTTTGGTCGCAGTTTAACAGGAGAGATGGACACTTGCAAAATTTTTGCGGTTAGGTGGTGAGTGCCATTCTAGAGATACAATCAAGGCACTACAAGAGCAGAGAAGAGAAAGGACTTAGCTATAGGAAGCCAGTTTAGGAAACACTTTCAGAAAGCAGATTTGAGCAGAGATAAATGCAAGTGAAGGTATTCTGGGGAGAAGGCACAGAATGTTCTGGAAGCAGGTTCTAAATACGAGCAGGTGGGCCTGGCAAGACACATCCAGCACAGTGACAGGGCGAAAGACTAGAAGGAAAAGCAAAGGCCAAGGGGATGACGTGCCAAAATACATACTAGGGAATGTAAAAAGAATCTATGGGTCTTCCACTGAAATATTTCACACATCTTGGAAAGATCATGCTGGCTGCACATAAAGGGGGCTGGACTGTGTAAGACTAGAGGCAGGACAGCCATTCAGGAGATACATGAGTCTCTCATCAGCACACAGATGAGCTCTGCTGAGGGTCTAAACTATGGGACCCAGAGAGAAGGAATGGACAGGAAAGAGGCTAAGAAGACACAACAGAATGTGGTGACCCCTTCACTCCCCGGAGAGCGGAGTCATCAGCTGAAAGCAGCAGAGCTGGAGAGAGGTTTGCCAGCAGTGGTCAAGGTCTAGAATGGCAAGTGTGGGGCACAGGAGAAAGCACTGACTAGGAACAGACTAAAGAAACCTGAAATGTCCAGTGGCACCATGACAATGCAAGGCAAACAGATGAATGGGGCTTTTCAGGGCAATGTGACAGAGGGGGAAAGGGGGCAGAGAATTTAGGGTACTAGCAAGAGATGGTTAAAAGCACTTTGCATATCATAAGGCAACAGGTTTCAACTTTCTGCAGAGAAATTTGGCTACAGCTATCAAAAATTTTAATGGCACACCCTCTGACCCAGATATCTTATTCCCGTGAACTTATTCTACAGAATACTTACAGAAGTGTACAGAGATACACAGTAACACAGAAAGTCAGTGCTACAATGTTTAGAAAAAAATTTAGAAACATTTGAAATTTCCATTAGTAGAGTCCTGGGTGTGGGTCATCCAATTCGGAAATCTAAGCAGCCATTATAATGGAAAGCAGCTATAAATGGTCTGATAATAGATTCAGGTAAACTGTTGTTAGCAGGAAAGTTGCAGAATAGCAGATAAAAGCAGTACCTATAATAATCCCATTTTTTATGAAAGATAATTACATTCACCCATACAGAATTTTTTATAGGAAAAAGTCCAAAAAGATATACCTCAAACTATTAACAAGACTGGAGAAAAGGTACTCACTTTTTACTTTACTTTTTACCGTTTCATTTCATTTGTGAAAATAACCACATAATTTTTAAATTAAATTTATTTTTAAAAATAAAGGAAAAGTAAAGAATACTGAGATGGAGGATGTCCAATGACTATCCCAAGAAATTCTGAAATCATCCAAGATGACATCAGGATTGGTTCAAAAAATAACACTTCTGGTGAACACGGCATGAGGAAGAGACTCATCAAATCACTGTGTTATACACCTGAAACTAATGTAAAACTGTGCGTTGACTGTACTTCAATTAAAAACAAAACAAAACAAAACAGGGGCGCCTGGGTGGCTCAGTCGTTGAGCGTCTGCCTTCGGCTCAGGTCATGATCCCAGACCTGAGCCCCGCATCAGGCTCCCTGCTCTGCAGGAGGCCTGCTTCTCCCTCTTCCATTCCCCCTGCTTGTGTTCCCTCTCTCGCTGTCTCTCTCTGTCAAATAAATAAATAAAATCTTTAAAAAAAAAAAAAACACAAAACAAAACCAAAAAACAAGCTCATATATACAGAGAACAGATTGGTGGTTTCCAGAGGCGGGGGACTGGAGAGCGTGGGCAAAATGGGTAAGGGGGGGCCAAAAGGTACAAACTCCAGGGGCGCCTGGGTGGCTCAGTTGGTTAAGCGACTGCCTTCGGCTCAGGTCATGGTCCTGGAGTCCCAGGATCGAGTCCCGCATCGGGCTCCCTGCTCGGTGGGGAGTCTGCTTCTCCCTCTGACCCTCCCCCCTCTCATGTGCTCTCTCTCTCTCATTCTCTCTCTCTCAAATAAAAAAAATTAAAAAAAAAAAAAGGGTACAAACTCCAGTTATAAAATGTCCTGGAGATGTCATGGACAGCATGGTGACTGTAGTTCACAACACTGTACTGCATATCTGAAAGTTGCTGAGAGAATAATCTTAAAAGTTCTCATAAGAAAAAAACTATATGGTGACAGATATTACCTAGACTTACTTTGGTGATCTTTAACTACATATAAATATTGAATCATTACATTGTACACCTGAAACTAACATAATGTATGCCAATTATGCCTCAATAAAAATAATTAAAAAAAAGTAAGTTAACATAGGTGAGTATTCAGAAAACTCTAAAGTACTCTAGCACTGCAATGCATAACTCACACGTCTGTATCCAAAGACATATCTTTGTGGGGCGCCTGGGTGGCTCAGTTGGTTAAGCATCTGCCTTTGGCTCAGATCATGATCTTGAGGTCCTGGGATGGAGCCCCATGTCAGGCTCCCTGCTCAGCAGGGAGTCTGCTTCACCCTCTCTCCCTCTGCCCCTCCCCTGCTCATGCTCTCACAAGCTCTCTCTCTCTCAAATGAATAAAATCTTTTAAAAAATCACTTCAAAGACATTATCTTTGTATAATTTTTCTTCACTAAGACATTCATAGGTTGGTAACAGGTCTATTTAAGTAGAAGTTACAACCAGAATAATCGTATAGAAATAACCATCAGCTCAAAGGTAACCATGGTAAAGGGTCACTAAAAGTTGAGTTTGTGTAAAAGTAGCCAACAACAAGTAGGACAAGAAATTCTGCTTCTGTTAAGTTGCTTCCTCCTGTGAACAAACTCCAGTGCAGGTGCACTGGCATCAGTCGCTGCTTACAAACATCATCAGCTAACTTTAAAGAGTGCATGCACATTTGATTTTTTCATTGGATGAAAGCGGTAGTATCAAACTCTTCGTTACACTAAATCACATACACCTATGGACATTACACTATTTGGATCTCACAAAAAAATAAAGTGTCCTTACTTGCAGATAAATCCTGCAATTTAAAAATTCATACTGAGGAGCAAACACCTTCCAGATACTCTCTCAATCAGTAACCAGTTAACTTAACAAAACTATCAAAACAAAGCACTTTTCCTTCCATGATCCCATACATGCTCCTCATGAAGAAAATGATATTTCACTGAGAGAGGATGTGAGGATGGCGTGGGGGGGTGCAGAGATAGCTCACCTCACCATTGTCCAGAACAGCCATGGATGAGGTCTGACCACAAGCAATGCCAACCACCCTCTTAATATGTAAACAGTTTGTAACTTTTCGAGGAGTTGGTTGATTTGTTGTAGATCCTGATCCCACCTGGCCACAGTTGTTATAGCCCCAAGCAAATACCTACACAAGACAAGGGAAAAAGAATGAATTCCTAGTAATAGGGTAAAAATTCTAGCTCTAACACACATCAATAATCATAAAATAAAAATATAACCACTTAATGTATATTTACAATGTGCTACATGGCTCTAATCTATCATTAGAGCTTCCCAGGCACTAACTTCTTTAATTTTCATAGTAATCCTGTACGGTGACCCTGGGTAGATACTATTGTCACCCCCATTTTATATACAGGAATGGAGACAGAGAGGTTAGGTGGCTTGAGGTCCCACGCCAGTAAGCAGTAAATGTGGCCTGTGAACCCAACAAACACAGCTGTGCTGCTAACCACTGCACTACATTGCCTCCGTCATTATGACGGCCATATGTGGTTTTTCAATCTGGCATCAGTAGGAAATAAGGCATAGACCACATAGGTAGCAGTGACAGGAAAAATCTGCTTAACTCTTTGGGTACAGATATTCTTTTTTTTCCCCTTCATGGAAAGCTTTCAAAGCCATACAGCACTCCTCCTGTCTCACTAATCGCCAATACTGAATATTACATAACCCTTCCTGATGACTCACGACCATCACGATTATAATTATTGATCACGGTTACAGGTCATAACACAGTAAGGCTCACAAGTACCAAAGAGGTGTCTGTCCCTACAGAAATGATATCAGGTTGTTAGGCTATTCTTGGTACTGTTTTCTCTGCGTTCTCATTTGCTGGCTGTCAGCTCCAAGCAGCTCCCCTCCTCAAATGCATCCTGTGCACTTTTGGCCTATGATTTGCCATAATGTGAAAACCAGATCTCTAAAAGACACAAATAAATCTCTAAGCTAGTTAAAATCTGGTAACAAAGATGAAAAACAAAACAAAAAAATCACTTCAAGTTAGTTACCAACTAAGCCTATCAAACAAGAGTGTGACCAGAGAGAAGAATTAGGGGAGGGCCAACAGCCAGGGAAAGAACTTCCTTCCACACTGGGAGAATTTCTAAGGACCCCCACTCCTTCCACTTGCCCACAGGTGGTGGTCCTCCCACATCCTGAGGTCTGGCCTCCATAATTCTCTCCTCTGTCAGCACTTCCTATCTCAGCTCACATGTCTGATGCTGCCCAAGGCAACAATAGCAAAACCCATCCATGGCTGGCTCCTCAAAAGAATACGCACTGGAGGTTCATTTCACGGGTACAAAAGAAATAACCTGCAACACTTCCTGAGAGTGGGTTCACAGGAAATGTCCAGTATAATAAAGCAAATATTTAGCACAATTATCCAAAGTAGCATATGCTTACAGTTAAAAGTAAACCAGGAATCCAGGCTACAAATTAGGGAATTCTAATATTAACAATCATTCTTCTGGCACTTCTCAAGTATCCCAAGCTCCCTTGCAATGCTGCTGCCTTTTATTTAAAAATGAGGACTGGGGTTCCAATAATCAAAAACAGACTACCATACCGTGGATACAGGGCATAAGACCTGGGTGCTAGGCCTAGCCCCAGCACATTCCAGCCATGAAACCTTGATCTCCCTCAGCTTCTCTGGTTTCTTCACCCACAACCTGCCCCACATAATAAAATCACTGTTAACACCAATGAGGGAATTTAAACAGAACAGAATGATCTGTGTTTTAGAAATCACAGGGAGTAGGGGCGCGCCTGGGTGGTGCAGTCAGATGGGCGTCTGAACCTTGGCTTCAGCTTGGGTCGTGATCTCAGGGTCATGAGACTGAGCCCCACATCGGGCTCCTTGCTTGGTGTTGAGTGTGCCTGAGATTCTCTTTCCTCCCTCTGCCCCCTCACTCATGCTCTAAAATAAATAAATAAATCTTAAAAAAAAAAAAATCACAGGGGGCAGAGAGGTAACACTTAACAGGGAGACCAATTAAAAAGCTATGGAATAAAAAAGACCAGGGCAATAGCCCAGGCAGACAGCAAGGTCTGATCTAAGGTTATGGAGATGAAGAGAAACAAAATGAGATAACAGACTGGAAGATAAAATAAGATGAGGAAACTTTCAGATAAGCATGGAACTTGGGGGTGAACAAGTGGTACTGCAGCCACCGGTATGTTGGTCAAGTTGTTTTCTATGACATCATTACATTTACTGAAAAACAAAACAGACCTTAATGGATGGGGTAGTTAAAAAAACAACTAAAGTACAGAACACGGTCATACACATCTGATTTATAGTCTTAGCAAAGAGGAGACTCAACTGCCTTAAGGCTGAAGTCTACTGTCATCAAAAGAATGGTCCTGATCACATAGGTTATGTTAGAAAAAGAGTGTGTTACCACATGTTTTTGTTTTTTTTCCCTACGTTTTTAGTTGTGCACACAGGACTACAATGTTTACACTATCCCAGATATAAATATGGTCATTATTTTTTTTAAAAGGCACTTTCACAATAGCCAAAAGGTGCTAACAATCCAAATGTCCATCAACAGATAAATGGATGAAAATATGGCATATACATACACAGAATATTATTCAGCCTTAAAAAGGACAGAAATTCTGACACATGCCCCAACATGGACGAACCCTGACAACATTATGCTCAGTGAAATAAGGCAGTCATAACAGGATGAACACTGCATGATTCCACTCATATGAGCATATAGAAGCATGTGAGAGTAGTCAAACTCATGGAGACAGAATGGTGGTCACCGGGGGCTGGGAGGGAAACAGAGTTATTGTTTGGTAGGTACAGTTTCAGCTCTGCAAGATAAAGAGAGTTCTGCAGATGAATGATGATGATGGTTGCATAACAATGTGAATATACTTAATGTCACTGAACTGACATTCAATAGATCCCATGGATATAAATATATATATGCATATTTTATACATATAAAATTTGCCATCCTAACCCATTTTAAGTGGTTAAAGAGACCATGGCAACAGTCCAGGCATATGATAAAATGGTTGCAGAAAGTGGTTCTCACACATCCTGAGGTCTGGCTTCCAAAATGCCTAGGATGGCAATTTTATATTATGTGTGTTTTACCACAGTTTAAAAATAAAGAATAAAAGCAGGGTACTTACCTCTCCATCAGCTGCCAGAGCCATTGAATGATGTGAGCCACAAGCTACTTCAACCACTTGCTTGATCAAGAGATTGGTACAGACTTGGATGGGAGCAATGCCTTGGTTGGTCGTCCCATTCCCAAGCTGGCTATATCCATTGTGGCCCCAGGCATAAACAACTCCATCTATACAAGACAGCCACACACAAAGAATCAACTATAAGAAGGAATGGTAACCCCTGTACTTTCTTCCCCGCACTTTGCACAATTTACTCTCCAACCTTAATTTCTTTCACACTGCCTCCTCTTCCCAATAAAGTGGTTACTGATGAAGGGAAAGGGAAAGAGGGACAGGTGAGGAAATGAGGTAGAAAAATGTAAAATCATTCAAGAAAGGACTTGACACAACCTAGAAAGAAGACCAGCTTTACGGTCAGAAGTCAGTTTGTATATACACAATCAGGCCGTCTGAACACACTGATTCATCTCAGTAGTTTCTGTGTCAGGTACCAAGCAAAAGGCAAAAGACGTAAGAAAGCTCAGCACTAGTCTTTACTATCATTTTACCAAATACCAAGTCTCAGGGAACCACTGAGAGGTGTGTGTGTGTGTGTGTGTGTGTGTGTGTGTGTGTCCTCACAAAGTACAGAGGAAAGAGGTATACTACCTGCAAGAGGAAAGAGATAGGACTTTTTGTATATACTACATACAAAAATGCAAGAGCTTCCCTCAAGCAGACTGTTATTGGCATAAAATCTGGCTCAATTTTTCTCTAATGACTTTATCTTTTTGGGACTCTGATAGAGGTAACTTGTTTTCCTCTCTAGAAGTACCACTATTTCATGCATTTCCTCCTACAGCGCGCCTATGTGTCAAGAGCAGAGACCTCGAAGCTATACACTCTTCTCATGTCTTTCCCCCATAATAAAACATCCTGCCCTATTAAGGACAATCTAGACCTGGACACAATGATATCCAAGAGCAACACCAGAAATCCAAGTGTTACTGTCAGGCTGCTGACTCGCTGCAATGGTCCCCAATCAACCAGAGGAAAGGTACTCAAAATTAAGTAGGTTTCTTGATTATCTAATCTAAAATCTAATCTTGAGCTTCTCACAAGAGGTTTCCCCTATTACAGAGATTATGACAGAACCCATAAATGGAAAATTTCATCCTAAAAAGGATGAGGCTACAGATTGAAAAAGTGTAACACCGAAAAAAGGGAAAAAATTAAATATTAGGAAAAAAAATACTTATAATTTATATTACTAAGAGACAATATCTCTAATATAAAAAAGAGCTCCTAAAAATACAAAGAAAAAGACCGAGAACCCTCTAGAAATATGAACTGATGGTTCACAATGAAAGAAATGTAAATGACTCTTAACCATATGAAAAGATACCCTCACTCTTAAGAAAAATGCAAATTGAGAAGAGAGGGACTCCTACCCACCAAGGCTACCACCTAGTTACTACCATTGCCGGAAGCCTGCTATGTTAGTAACAAAGACTAATGCAGGGTCCCTGCTACAGCATCACCCTTTAAAGAGACCAACTAGCTATTTGGTAATAGCTGACTATTACCAAGCTGACTCCAATGGACCCTTTCCATCCTGGAAGGAGCAGCCATTCATACTAACAGAAATCAACATATAATCAGGGTATGGGTTTCCTGCCCACAGGGCCTCAGCTAGCACAGCTATATGAGGGCTTACAGAGTATTTAATCCAGAGTATCTGATCCCACAAAACATCTCATCAGACCAAGGCGGCTACTTTATAGCAAAAGAGGCGCGGCAGTGCTCACATGACCATGGGGCTCCTGGTCCTGTCTCATGTACTGCAACACGCATAAGATGCCACTGGACACAGCAATGACAAGCCGGCTGAAGGTACAACTGAGGTGTCAGCCTGGAGATAAGACCAGGTGAGGATGGGATGCTAAGCTCCAAGGTACAGATTCGGAATCAGTGACCACCAGATGGTGCTGTGTCCCGAATAGGTAGGATACGGGGGTCCAGGAACCAGAGTGGCTTATATGAGGGACCCTACTGACCATGACTCCCAGTGACCGACTTGGGGAATCTGTGCTTCCTGTCCCTGAAATTATAGGTTCTGGTTCCCTAAGCGGAAACACTTGCACTAACGGACACAGCAAGAATCCCACTGAACTTTAAGTTACGGCTGCCAAGGGCACTCTGTGTTCCCAAAACATATCAGAAGACACGGATCTGAGCACTGCCTGGGAGAGAATGAATGACTGCTGTGCTGTGTCACCCAGATGCCCTCAGGATGAAGGACCTTATTCTCCAGATGCTGGGCTCTTTCCAGCTGCCTGTTCTCCGCCATCAGTCCTCTCCAGAGTTACCCTTGGCAATCACCTTCTTGTGATTGTTTTGCCATTATTACATTATTATTTAACCTTACTATTATCACATTATTTTACTATCTTAAGATAGTATATATATCTATTTCTTCCCTTTTTATTTGATGAAACATAGGAAAACTGAGCTTCCTGAGATCGCTCTTAGTCCCAACTCCCCAGGAAGTTTTCAAAGCAACCCCATCCAATGGGGCACCAGCACTGATTCCCCTAACCCTGCTCTTGCTGCACAGTCTCTGACCAAGGATCAAGCTTCAGAATCATGTGAGGGTCAAGAGATGAGCGAGTGAAACCAACCAGGATAGAAGGGAGAGCGGGAAGTGGGAAGGGCCTGGGAAAGAGAGCACGGAGGGAGGCAAAGAAGCATCCCATGAAGTTCTGACCTTCAAGGAAACTCAGCTTTCAGAGACTGGACGCCAAGTTGGGGAAGTGGTCAGAAACAGCTAATTTTATAAGTAACCTAATTTAATGTTGCTTCAGAAGACAGAAAAAGAAATCCACAAGCCCTAGGTCTACTAAGTAAAGTAATAATACTAAATGAATATTGATCTTCAGAGTAGTCACCAGACAGGACTAGATTTTCTTCTTCTTCTTTTTTTTTTTGAGGAAAGCCAGACTGCCACATGTAGCACCTTATTTGGATGTGTCTGGAGTCTTGGAAGCTTGACTACCCTACGTTCTCCTACAAATGGACTTCAAGAGCTTGTTTGGAGGTTCTAGCAGGGGAACACAGCTACTTGTCTACCCCTGACTCCTCCATAGGAAAGGTCGTCCTGTCCTCTCCAACTGAGCACACAGCTTCAGGAGGGATGCACATGGAGCAGTGAGGGAGGAAAGGGGCACCCACCTACCCAGCCAGATCAGCTGTATCAACCCGGACGATCAATAGGGTGACAGATGTGGCAGCCAGATCGCACTCACATCCTAGGTTTTCAATGTAGTAATGTAGCATTGATCAAAACATTCCTAAAATACCTTTTAGAAATAGCACACAAGTGAGTAAAGCATGGAGAATTGAACGTGTTTTTATCTTTATTCCTTCCCAAAAACCTGCTGAAATAATAGTGAAGGGAACAATTTTTTTAAAAAAAGGCATAAACACTCAAGACAAAAAAGAACAATAAAGAAGAAAATACAATAGGAGAGATGACAACAAAATTTTAGAAGATGGAAGGTAGACGGATGTGGTGAGTAACATAACCGACCAGAGAAGGTGACACCTACAACTGCAAAAGGAGAAGCCAATTACAACCCTGGAATCTCAGGAAGGCCCAGGGACTGGAGGGACTGGACATAACAGGAGATGTAAGGGCAGGTGGAACTAAAAACAGAAGCACTTAGACCCCAAATCCTCATCCTCTTGCTGTGGGGTCAGGCAATTATCCCTCCCCAACGCTGGTATAAGACAAGAGACCTAGAGCATTTACTTGCTGTGAATTTCTTATCGTAACTCCCCGCAGCCCAACTTCTCCCTTTGCCCAAACCTCCTTCCCTCCCTTCTCCTACATAACACGACAAAGAAAATGAGCTAGAAAAATACTCCAGAGAGGCCCTGACGACAGCTGTGAGGCACCGTAGTGAGGAAAGGAGAAGTAGAAGTCCACGTATTGAAGAGCGAGACCCCTGTCCTTCCCCTACTCATGGAAAGCTGGCAAAAAAAACCGATCCAGGTCAAGAATCCGGAAGGTTCTACCCTACAGAAGCTCACATACTAACATTGGGAGAATCCCTAATGCAACAATTATCTCCCTAAAGTCAAGCTAAGCACTTGACAAGCCCCACCCATGAATCCAGTGTTCCCAACACGTGTATCAGCGCCTGGGTCTCACCTGTGGACAGATGGCCAAGGATCACCAAACTTTTCAAGAAAGCCTCTCACAAGAAAAGTCAGAGACCAAAACAAATTAAAGAGAAAGAAGAAATCTGGGAGGGGAAGAAAAAGAAACACTACAGAGAACAGAAGACAACTTGAAAGTAACCTACGACAGACTCAGAGAGAAGTTAGTGAATCCATGACACAAGGACAGAAGGCTCGAGAAAGGCACATTGAGAAAACAAGAAAGAGAACGGGAAAACGTAACAGCAGAAATGTGAAAATCTGACATCAGAGTTGTAAGATAAAGTTGAAGAAATTTTCCAAAAAGTAGATAAAACAAAATATAAAAAAGAAGATCAGTTCAGATTCCTCTAACTTCCTTCTAAGAAAAGTTCCAAAACAGAAGAGAACAGAGAAAACAAAGAAGGGACATTATCCATGAAGTATGACAAGAAAATAATCTAGACATGAAGGAATTTCCAAACTGGAGTCAACAGAATGATCAATACAATAAATTAAAAATTGGGGCACCTGGGTGGCTCAGTCAGTTAGGCGTCTGTCTTCGGTTCAGGTCATAGTTCTGGGGTCCTGGGATCGAGCCCCAGTCGGGCTCCCTGCTCAGCATGGAGTCTGCTTCTCCCTCCCTCCCCCCGCTCACGCTCTCTCTCACTCGTGTGTGCACGCACTCTCTCATAAATTTTCTTAATTACTTAATTAAAAATTATCCACACCAGAGTACATAACCATGATTTTTTCAGAAAACTGGGAATAAAGAAAAGATCCTTAAACCTTCCGAAGAGGAAAAAACAGTCATATGCAAAAATAGTGAAAGTCAGAATGGCATCAGAATCTCAATAGCAAGCCTGACTTGAGAGGTGCGATGACTTTAAAATTCTGAAATAGGATTTTCACTCAGGAATTTTAAGACCAGCCAAACCACTGAGCAACTGCATGTGTAAAATGAAGACATTTTAAGAGAACGTCTCAAAGATTTCTGTCATAACACTTTCTTTGAGAAGCTACCAGAGAATGTGTTTCACCCAAATAAGGGTATAATCCAAGGAAGACAACACGGGGGCACAAGAAATAGGGGATCCAGAAAGGACAAAGTTAAGGGGACTTCCATGGATGACGGTGAATGAAATTCCAGGCTGAGAGCTGGGGGGCAGGCCTACAGTGACCAGTCCCGGCTGGAACATGGGGATGAGGGCTCCAGAGACAACTCGACAATCTCAGAAGTGCTGAGACACAATACTGTTCTATGGAAGAGTCTGGACATAATGACAGCCCTATAGAAAAATAAGTGAATGAACCCCAGGAAAACAAACAGTTGTACAGAAAGGTGATAGTTCAGCTATAAATCACAGAGTCCTAATAATGTAAACACTGAAAATCGATTTAACCAGAATGGTGGTATTGCTACATTGAAATGATTGGAGGAGGAAAAAAAGAGGAAAGAAAGCTAACTTCTATCTGCCATGATAAAAAGTGGAAAAATAAGATCTAAAATTGAAAATTCAGAGAGTGTAACTGTATTAACTTAAAAATATGAGATTAATATGAGAAGAAACATTTGAAGGGGTTAAAAGTGGTTCCTTCTGAAGGGTAGTTTCTAAGACTGAGAAGGGGTGAGGCAGAGGTCCTTCTGTTTTTTTAATAAAAGCCATATACTACCTGATGGTTTCAAGTGTTTTAAATGGTTTAATTTGTTTTAAAACTATTTGTTTGTAATACATATATAACATGCACAAACATATGTGCTATACATGCACCTGATACATAATGTAGAGCATGTTTAAATTATATTGTATAAAATGTATTGTAACAATCAAAACTGAATTAAAAAACATTCCCACAAGAAAATCAGTTATTTTATTTATATTTTTATGTTTTATGTTTATTTATTTTATATCTTAATTGTAACACTCAAGATAGTTAAGACTACATGATCTAGACTCTGGAAATAATTCCAAGAGTTGTAATTTCCTAAGGTCACCACTTTGAAGAAAACCAAGAATTTAAATGTATATGTTTTAGGGGTGCCTGGGTGGCTCAGTCAGTTAAGAATCCAACTCTTGATTTCGGCTCAGGTCATGATCTCAGGATCATGAGATCAAGCCCTGTATTGGGCTCCACACTGAGCGGAGAGTCAGCTTGAGGTTCTGTCTCTCCTTCTCCCTCTGCCCCTCCCCCCCACTCACGCATGCGTGTGCGCACACGTTCTCTCTCTGAAATAATCTTTAAAAATAAATAAAATAAATGCATACATTTTAGTGTGTCTGCTCTAAAAAACTGCCCAGTGTTTTACAGTCAGCAATCAGTGACCAGTTAAAACTGATATTTGTTAGGAAAAAATCAAATCATTAGGTCACAAGAGATGACAAGCAGAACCAGTCAGCAAAGTAGTAACTGCTTGAAAGAGCCAGTGTGATGCCAGAAAGCATGGTTACACAACATAGAAGTGAGATCATCACCTCATTATGCTCAATACCAGTTATATTCTCACTAGACAATCATGCTCAGATCTGGATCTCACAGCTTGAGAAAGATGCAGACAACTTGGGAGTAGATTCAGATATGAGTTAAAGGCAATTAAAAAGCTCAATACTAAGACCTCTGGCAATATCCAAGGAAGCTGTGATTCCTCAGTCTGGAGAGAGAAAGAGAAGCAAACAGAAAGCTTCCCCACAGAAAGCAGAGGGTCTCTGCTAGAGAGAGAGCAAGAGTTAACATGTTTAAAATATAAAGGGAAGAATTTAGGTTATATAGAACCTATTTTCAGAGAGTTCTGGTTGCCCACAGTGGAGATAAATTACCAAAGAAGAATGTTATAGTGTCCTTTTTCAGTGATCTTCGGGAGGCAGAGATTAAAAGGAGAAGAATCTATCTCACAGTCTTTCGAGATGGCACACACATGAATGCCAGGGAATAAACTAAGATTTCTTAAATTAGAGATTCAGGAACTACACAATGAAAGGAAAACCAGAATCATGTTTGTTTATAAAAATGTGCCAAGTAAAACACAAAAGTTGCCTTGCTCCCATAAATCCACTGAAAAATTAGGCAGAAGGACTTCTTCATTTGCTACATCTAATCTTTAACAACTTTACTTTAGTATTCTAACATTTGCTTAATTTGCAAGCAATATTATGGCTGTTCCAGAGTTAGCCTGAAGTGCTTAACTTTTATCAGTTTGGTATAGTTCTCAGAAATTAAGAAATAAACCACTCGAAATTATTTTATATGGCCCCACCTCACCTTTGCTCAGAATTCAGGCTCGATTTCCCACAAACTGAAAATCTGGCTTTGTTCCCTCTTTACCTTCGGTGCTGAGAAGGACATGTGGTCCACTTCCATAACTAAGGCTTTTAATCTTCTTTCCACATAAGGCTTCTAGCTTTTTGGGTACAAGTGTACTCTGGTTATCTCCAGTTCCAAGACAATTACTATAGTTCAATCCAAATACAAAGACCTAGAAAACAAATAGTTTTGTCTGAGTCACTTGGCCTAAAGTTACACAAAGGCTCCCTTCTCCACTCTGAAAATAAGACACACTCAAGTTCAGTGTGACAGCTCAGTAGGTAGAAGACACTGACCGGATTAAGAATCAGTAGGTAGAAGACACTGACCGGATTAAGAAAAATTCAACCTCTGAGGACATTACTTAAATTTTAGAATATTTGGCTATACTATGAAATTCAAAGAGTAGCAGGGGGTTGAATGGTATTAAATCAAGAAACTGAAAGGAGAGAGAAATTATATCAAAGACATGGTCTTCTTGAACTTCAGGCTCTTTTTATCCCCAACCCTTTCAGAAGATATGGAGGTAGGCCTTGCTGGGTACATCTGGGATAGTGGGAAGAGAAAAGACTGGAAGGAAAGTCAGGGCCAAGGGGATCCATGGATCTTCCGAGGAAATATTTCAAAACAGAGACTGATATGAGTAAATCTGCATTCTGGAAAGATCGGCTGGCCACAACCTTTTCTTGGTCTTCAAACTTCACACTTTTAAAGCTCGCCCCCTAAAATCACACTCTGGGTTTTGAGAAATTCTTACCTCATCATTGTCAGTAACGTACAGTGCTTCATTGGCTGAGGTGCCAAAGACACATGCTTTCCGAATAGATGCAATTTCTTGAGGTGAGAGCAGAGTGAAGATTGGCCACTTTCCTACATCCACCATGACTCTGGCTTCAAGTAATTCCTATAAATAGGCCAACATCTCTGCTGCAACAAAAAAGATCCCAAGAAAAAAATGAAATAACCACTAAACTAACTTCAAAAAAAAAAAAAAAGACACTGTGCATAAAAGGAAACAAAACCTAATTCCAAAAGAAAGTACCCACCTTTGGTTAAATGGACCACTCACTTTCCCCAGCAACCTGTCCAATCCTTCCCCCGCGGTCAAACCTGGGCCTTTTTCTGCAATGAGAGGAACAACTTGCTAGAACCAGTTGTTTGTCTTACCTACTCACAAGTCAGGGCTTATCTGTTACATACTTGCTTATTTGCAACCAGACAGCAGATAATGGAAAGGCCGCTAACTGGATGAAACCAGGGTGTCTCATCAGGAATTTTTTCTTTAGGTTATTGAGATAAAATTAAAGGTTACAGTACTAGTTTGCCTAAGACACTGAATTCTTGCTTAGGAGAGGGAGGGCAGGAGGGTGTGTGCGTGCACATGAATGTTATAAAAAATCAGAATCATTACCTCTACTTCCCCACTGTCCTCCTCCAACCCCCAGGATGCACTCAAAGATCCCCATCCCTTGTAGAAAATCACTGCCATACCAAGCCACTGTTTAATGATGGGAATGGGACATCCCTCTCACGTAAGTCTAAAGTGGCAAAAATATTAAGAAGTACTAGGTGAAAGATATACAGAATGAAACCACAAAATAAAGTATTATATTCTGGTCCTAATTTCTATGACCATGTTTTCTACATATATACCGATCAAATTTCATTTCACACTGAAAAGTTACCATATGAACAAGGGAAGACAATTCACCCTAATTTTGGTGTTCAAGGTCAACTATAGCCTTCATGCAGGTAGCAATTAGCTTAAAAAGTATCCTATAAAAAGTAGACATAGGTATAAATTTTCATAAAACTCTAAATTTGACCTGTTTAAGGAGTTTTACACAAAGATCTATCCTTGTCATGCCTCCAATTCTTCTAGGGTTAAAAAAGTATTTCTAGAAATTCCAGGGAGCTGCACAAGCACAAAACCCTACCATGCCAAGTTGAGTTTCCATTCTGGCTCTCACCTCTAGAAACTGAAATAGAACCAGTTTATAAATACAACCAGGGTTTCCTAATGAGGTACAGAACTCCTGAAGTTCCTTCCTCCTCACTCTCTTCTCAGACCTCTAAAAATAGCCAGGAGAGCCAGGCTCAAGACCAAGGCCTTCTGGCCTCCAGCACTTCTGTTAACACCTAGAGAGAGCCTTGGGGCTTAGGTATACTTAGCCAAGGCCTCAGTTTTCACCATCCAGGGAGATTTTTCCCATCAGCACCAACTTGGATGACAAGGAGCAGATGACTACTATGCCCCAAGAATCACATCACATATTCAATAAGCATTAAACACGATCAAGGACAGGCTATTCCCCATCACTCCACAGCCAGACTCCTGGCACAGCATCTGAATGTTCTGAGAAGTGTGCATGTGTGCGTGCCGGTGGGAACAGATAAAGGATTTGGGGAAGGGTAAAAAACTAATACATAAACATGTTGAAAATTTTTGTTTCAACTGGTATAAAGGGGTAAAGAAAAGTAAGTCTCCCTACCATCCCTCCCCAACCCTCTCCTCAAAGGCAACCACTGTGAACAGCTGTTTCTAATTCCTTCCAGAGATGGTGTATGCTTACAAAAACATTATGTGTATGTGTGTGTGGAAGCCTTTTTTCCCTTAACAGTACATCCTGGAAATCATTCTATATTAGCACATGTAGACTTACTTCATTTCTTTTCAATGGGACTATATAGCATTCCATTACATCAAGTTAACAACTTACCTGCTTCCACTGAGAGACAAAGTCACTGCTAGTCTTTTCCCAGCATAAACAAGACTGCAATTATTGTCTACATATATTATTGCATATACTTGTCTTTTTTTATACATACAAGATAAATTCCTAAAAATGGAACTGCTGGGTCAAAGTATAATTGCTATTTTGTTAAAGATTTATTTATTTATTTGAGAGTGAGCAAGCACACAGCAGGGGTAGGGGCAGAGGGAGAGGGAGAAAGAGTCTTAAAGCACCACCCAGGCACCCCAAATTGCTATTTTACCTTTTTAACAGTTATCTCAAATTGTCCCCTACTGAAGTAGTACGCGTATATAAAATAACCACCATTGTGTGGCAGCACCTGGTGACCCACATCCTTACCACACAGTGTATTATCACGGTGTCTTGGTTTTGTTTCAACTTGAATTCCTCCTATGATGAGTGAGGCGGGGCATCATTTAAAAAATAATCACAATAACAGCAACAATAACAACTGATATTTCTTGAACACTATGTGCCAAGTGTGTTCTTAATATTTTACATCTATTAATTCGTGTAAATCCTCACTTTACAGACTTGGAAATGGAGGCAAAGAGATTTTAAGAATTTGCTCAAACCATTAAGTGCCTGAGTCTGGGCCTTGAAGCCACACAATCCGGAATCTGGAATCAGCACGTGCACTCTTCATTTCTTGGCCTCATGCATCATCCTTTTACATAAAGTCCCTATTTTTCCTCCTGGGCTATTGTTCTTTTCTTTGTTCTTGATTTTTGTGTTCTTTCTATGGTAAGATGATTATCTTAAATGCTCTTTGAGGTAACAAAAAAGATGCCTCCCACCCTACCCCACCCAAATGGCCTGCCTTGTGTCTCTTACAAAACAGACAGGGAAGGAGTCACAAGAAAGGAAACAGTGTAAATGTCTATAAGCAGATAGATCAATTCCAAAAAAAATCTAGCACTTTATTTTCCTAGAATATGAACCACATCAAAGTTAGTTCTCAACATTTAATATTGTGAATAATACAGAATTTTAAATAAACAGAGAAAGGGGGGATTTAAATTAGCCAAAAAAATGATTAACCACATTTACAATTACAACACAAAGGGATACTACCATCAAACTTAAACAATTTCCTGACAACAGTACAATTATTCTGAAGTCATTCAGTCACAGGCCACTCTGCCCCCAAGGGTTTTGGTAAGCTACTGAAAAATCAGGCTTTCATAATGATGGCTCATTATATGAAATTATATATTTCATAATGATGGCTTATTATATGAACATATATTTCATAATGATGGCTTATTATATGAACATATTATATATTTCATAATGGTGGCTTATTCTATGAACATATTACATATTTCATAATGGTGGCTTATTTTATGAACTTATTATATGAACCCATTCCTAAATTACTTGAATCTTTATTTTACAAGATATTTCTCCAAAGCTTGTCAAATTAAAAGTTAATATAAAACCAGGTCATGTACCTTACAGGTCCACAACCATCATAAAAGCAGAAAGCGTTTATCAACAGCCTTGGCATGGTGGAAAAGACAGCGTCCTGAAGCACGTGTTTTATTCCCAGGTTGGCTTTTAATTAATCAGTGTGACATGCCACCTACCTTCCTGAGCCTGGGTCTCAAAAATCTGTCCTTTAAGATTCTATAATGTTATGTTCAAGATGTAATGAACAAGCTGCAGGGGATTTTGGAACACATGAGAACAAGGGCAGTAATGCTGCCCAAGCTAAGTAATTACTCCTAGCAACACGATTCTGTTAAGTAAATAAAGACGAGGAAGGAAAACGCGAACAGTGATCAAGAACTGTTGCGGGGGGCCTGGGTGGCTCAGTCGGTTAAACGTCTGCCTTCAGCTCAGGTCATGATCTCAGGCTCCTGGGATCAAGCCCCGCATCAGGCTCCCTGCTTAGCACGGAGTCTGCTTCTCCCTCTCCCTCTGTGCTCTCTTTCCTCCTCTCTCTCTCTCTCAAATAAATCTTAAAAAAAAAAAAACAAACAAAAAAACAAAAAACTGTTGCAGACACTATGTTAAGCAGCTTCACATACGTTATTTCATCTAATTTTCACGATACACTTGTAAGGAAGAAAGGTCATAATCCATTCTTAGCAGATGAGGAGTGGGGCTCAGAGGCAAAGTGACTTCCCAAGGTCACAGAGCAATGAGTGGCATAGTCAGGACTCAACCCCCAGCCCTCTGATTCTTCTCACATCAGAGAACATCAGCCCTGTCCCTTCAGTGGTTAAACTGCTCTAACATTATTTCCTTCTGACTTTGTCTAATAATGTACACCAGCATCTGTTTTTAAAATGCTTCAAATACAAAAAGAACTTCCCCCCTAAAAATGTGTTCCCTAATATGCCTCTATCTAGATTTGCCTGGTTAAACCTTGTGAATGTCACTCATTCCTTCCTCCTTCCGAAATCCACCAGGCGGCAGGTCCTGGAGACCAAATGCACCTTTGTCCTCAAGGAGCTCACAAGAGTGTATGAGCACAAGGTACCTCCTTGGGCTACAGACTGCTAAAGCACAAAGTATGTCTTCATTAGACTATGTTCAAGATGAGAAGCTGACGACATGAAAAAGGTATCCTCAGAATTCAGACAAGGTTCCCCAAGAGGTTTTGTGGAGGTATTAAAACTCAGGATGTGCTATGTGCTGTAAGGAATAGAAGTCCTCCTGAACATGGGCATGTGGCGTATCTTTTCCTAAGGCAGTATAATGTAAATACAAATACCACCACCATTTTCTAATTAACTCAAAATTACCACCATCATCATTACAATCAGATTACTGCAGTGAGATGTTTAATTTCTCCAGTTTCCTGGGGGCAGCGACACCTTTGCTAGCTAATGTTGAGAAAATCATACTAAGTATCATTCTATCAGCTTCATATGTTTGACCCTCTACCACATAATTATAAAGTGCGTATACTATTAATCTAAAGGGCTAAAGCAGATGGAATCACTAGCTTTAATCTGTTATGAAATCTATACCAGACTTAAGAACCACTGTGGCTAACAATGAGTCAGAAAAATAAGGATCTATCACAAGAAGACAGTAGATGTCTTATGCAATGACATCTACTCATCTACTAAATTTGCCTAAACGTGAAGTAGAACGATTAACAGATTTGTTCTAATTGTATGGATTACACTTACAGGTATATAAACATAGTTCAACATCATTTCATTTAAATCATCATGCTTCAAATAGTAATATTCTATCAGGAGGCACTACTAATAGGGAAGAATCTTCAAATGGCCTGCTCAACCTAGGCCATCCTGGATAGGCACATACTTTGTAAGTATTCAGCAGTGATTTTAAGGAAGGTAACCCAATGCTTTTCCTTCCATAGTATTACGCATCCCTCAAATGAAG